ATATATAAAGAGAGAGAGAGAGAGAGAGAGAGAGAGAGAGAGAGAGAGAGAGATATAGATAGATATTTTTAGATTCCAAAGCACGCATGCGAACAAAGACGGCGCGGGAAACGAGCATAAAAAGAACACAATTTGTTGTTATGAAGAAAAAAGAAACAGAACGAAATGGTAAAGAAAAACATCTCAGTCACATCCTTTTATTTCACTCCATTCAAATTTTGTTAAATTAAATACTTGTCAGAAAGAAGCAGCACTAAAATTGGCAAATAGTGCAGTGATATAATAATAACGAGCCATATTAAAGCTGGCAAGGAAGAAACTTTTTGGTGGTATTTCGGTAGGTACTTTCTGCATCAGGGGTTGGGTGGGGGGGCGTGTACTACAAAAGATTGCCAAAATCAAACCAAACAGAACGAGAAAAGTGAGTAGTTGGATTGTCCCTTCACACACCAGCAGTCAGACAAAGAGTTGAGCAAAACTACAGCAGAGCAGACTTATTGGGCGCGTCCGCCGAACTTTTCCCGGAAGCTGAAGGAGAAAGTGAGCATGTCGTAATAAAACTGCTTGGGGTCTCCGGCCGGGTATTTCTTCACGGATTTCTTGACCCCCTGGGACAGCACCTCGTAGTGGGAGCCCTCGTTCAGAGCTGGGTCCACGAGGAAAGACCACCCCTCTCTGGGCTCCCTCAGGCGGATCAGCTCGTTTCCGAAGGCGAAAGACCCCAGGTGCAGCTCACAGGTGGCGCCGGAGTAGGATTTGACGCGCTTCAGGTCACAGTTGACGCTCAGGTGGACTCTGGACACGGACATCAGGTCACCCTGGGAGAAAGCGATGACCTCACGGTTGAGCACCTGCTCGGGTCCGGCGACGTTGAAGAATGCGGTGTCCGGAGACCAGATGTCGGTCCCGCCCACGTAGGCGCCTGAGATGTTGAGGCGGGCCTCGTTGAAGGTCAGGTCGGCGTCATGCCAGGTCTCTCTCTTCCACAGGATCACGCTCACGCGGTTGTTGGCTGTGTCCATGTCCACCACGTTGATGTGAGTCACACGCACGTCCAGGTCGAGTGGGGCGGACTTCCGGGGCTGAGGGAAGGCATCGGTGATCTTTTCTTTGTTGAAGTTGGTGTAGAACTTCTTGTAGCGGCTTGCCTCAGCGCCTGTCGGATTATACACAGATGATTATTAGGGTAAATTGAGTGTCCTAACACGGGGTTCCCACTACGGACGGGATCGGTCGATCGGGCCGATCACCCGACTCGATCGCCCGACTCGATCGCCTAAAAAAACAAACGTGTTTGTTTTCAGTTTCAGGCGATCGAGTCGGGCAATCGGCCCGATCCAGCCGTAGTGGGCACCCTGTATAAGAATTAAGTGGCAGGATAGAATAAAGAATAAAAAGCTGTGGGGAAAGGACAGAAGAAAAGGATACAGAAGTAGAAGTAGGACTAAAAAAGTGGCGATGGATGGGACACACTCTCAGAAAGCCTAGCGGAAACATCACAAGGCAGGCTCTGCAGTGGAACCCACAGGGAGCACGCGGCAGGGGTAGGCCACAGGAAACATGGAGGAGATGTGTGGAAAGGGACATGAGAGAGATGAAGCTCATTTGGAACGAGCTTTGAAGGATGGCCCAGGACAGAGATAAATGGAAGGGGTTTGAATGTGGCCTATACCCTGCCAATGGTGAGAAGCATTGATGATGATGATGATGATGATGATGATGATGATGATGATGATGATGATGATGAGGACGGTAAATTGTCCAAGAAGGTCTTCCATTGTCGAACTTAAAAGAGATTTTCTTTGACAAGTGGACTCGGTGTGCAGTCATAATAATAATATAAAATAAAAGCTAAGGAATTTGAGAAATGATTGTTTGTACAGGTGTTTGAATTGGAAAGACGTTCGTAAAAACATGATATTAGTAGAACGAACTGAAAACGTGGTATTTTGGGTTTGAATCTTTTGTTTTGTTTTGTTTTTTGCTGTTTTTACCTTAGGTTTTTAAAAATGTATATCACACACCCAGGTTCAATAGATGGCAACAGCCTTGCATTGCAAGCCAGGATGGTGATTTTTTATTTGTGAATGCTGTTTTTGCTTCTGTCTTCGTCTTCGGTACTGCTAGAATTCAGAACCTTACTTGACATGGTGAAGATAATTTAGCATGAGATAATATACTGTGCTCCTTGTCCAAACACCAGGCTCAAAGGACACATCTCGAGTAGGAACATAACAAACATCATCTATGGAACCCCACTAAGGCTCAAACCTCAAACATACGCGTGGAACATAAAGTTAATGATTTAAATGTTCGATAGTGGATGGTACACATTGGTCAGAGAGCGGAAAAACAAAACAACAACAACTGCTACTTCAGAAGAAGACATTTCATATTGTTGCCATATTAATTTTAAGTCATGATTAACAATTAGCAATAAGAAATGAAATATTTCATCTGCATGCTACAATTTAGTCACCAATAGCTACTTCTACTTGTAAGAATGAAGACATTTCAACTGAATTAAACATCTTACAATAGACTATTACTACACATTTATAAGGAGATTTTTCATCTGAATATTTCATATCGCCATTAACAACTTCTACGAAGATAAAATATAATTTATGTCCCGGCTACAAGTCACCATAAACTACTGGTAAAAAGAAACAGAATATTTCATATGATTTCTGCTTGTCACAATTAACAACTAGTCAGAAGAAATAAACTATTTTATCTGAATTCAGCATGCCACCGTTGATTGCCCAGAACTACCACTTTAGAATTGTTTCTTTTCTGTGGATACTGCAAACTGTCACCTTTACATACTCAGAACTACCACTTTAGAATAAACTATTTCGTGTGCATGGAATATGCCACGATTCACTACTAAGTATAACCACTTTGAAATAGACTATTTCAAGTGCATGTTGCAAAATGTCACTCAATACTACCATTTTAAAAGAAACTATTTCGTGTGCATGAAACATTTCACCATAATTTTCTACTAAGTACTACAACTAATAAAAAATAAAATATTTCATGTGCTTGAAACATGTCACCATTTACTACTCAATACTATCATATTAAAAAAACTATTTCACATACATGCTACATGCGAACATTAACTCATACACCAACTAAGAAATAAACTATTTAAAGTGCATGAAACATGTCGCCAAGTACTATTCAGTACTGCCACTTCAGAATAGACTTTTCATTCTACATGTCAGCATTGACTCATGCAACTACTTAGAAATAAACCCGTTTCATGTGCATGCTGCATGCAAACATTAACTCATACAGCACCTGCAAAGGCCAGCATGAAACAGAGGAGAGAGAACCACGCCATGATCCCGAGTCGTTGTGAGTCAACTTTCAACAGCCTCTGAGACCTCCGCTTTCTCGTTTATATAGACCTCTTCTCTTTTCTTCTCTCTTTTTATTCTGCACCTCGTTCTCCTCTGGCGTGGAATATCGCGCAGATAAGGCAGTGGTCGCATGCGAATAACCTTTATGGAATCTGTGCTTTCATGTCATGTAGCACAATGATATGTAGGGCAGTATGATATTCTCTCTCCAGCAAGTCCGAGGCATGTTATCTCGTTAGGCATAAGATAGTTCTCAAGGGAAAGAAAAGAAAAATATCTTAGAACGGTTTGGGTTTGGAACTCGGACTATCCGCACCACAGCCTAATATGATACCAAGGAGGAGAATATTGCACCAAGTACTTCACTGACGCCAAAATAATAATAATGATAATTATAATAGTAATATTTTTTTAATAATAAAGAAAATAATAATATAAAGATAAAGAAAAAGATAATAGCTGTTAATTCATTATTATTTCATTATCATTATTATTAGATTATTAATATCATTATTATTTTATTTTTTAAAATTATAATTTTAAAATTTTTTAAATTTTTTAAATTTATTTATCAATTATTATTATTTTTTTACTACTATTATTATTTTTATTATTATTATTATTTCTTTGGTACAGTGCTATGTCCACATGTTTGTTTTGAGAAAAATGGATGTTAAGGGCAAACTGCTGTAGCTATTTCTTGGACATATGCACATGAAAAATAGCCATTGTGGCCAACGTTCATAGTGGATTGTTTTGATAAATACTGGCATACCGCAACATCGATTGGAGGCATCTGTTATGCTTTTTCATAATTTGGGCCAGAATGGATATTGTCTCCTCAAGCTTTCAACTCACGTCAAATAACAACAACAACAACAACAACAACGACGACAATAACGACAACAACAACAATAAGTAAATGAATAGCAACCTTTCCCACCAAAGATTAGTAGGTCAGGCATTATCTAGACGCAGGTGTCAACGTCTAGATCCACAAGTCGCATCAAGCACGACGAACAATTATAAATATCTGATAGAAATGTGAGGCAGCGTGGTGGAATCAGGCTCTCGTCAATTTGGGGGCATGTAGAGATATTGGTATCATCTTAAAGTTTGTTCACTTGTCTTTATTTGGATGAAAAATAAATCCTTTTATCTTGAATACAAGTCGAGATATTTGCAAAAGAAGGAGGTGGGGGTCACTTGTTTTCAGAGGTAACATTAGTGAGAAAATGGCCGCCAAAGATTAGTTATTTCCTTAGCTTAAGTGTCCGTGGTAACTGAAAATTTACATTTTTGCACCTTCAATCAACGATTTTATTAAAAATCCACACAGAAATGAGTTCTTTAATGGGCAAGAAAGGTGTTGAGCCAAAAAACAAAAATTTGATAAAAATTCAGAAACCATCGGAAAAAAGCAAGTTTCTTCACTTTGATGATTTTGACGAGAGCCTGATTCCACCACGCTGCCTCACATATCAATGATTTATTGAGAAACTGTATTCCATAAAGCCTTACTCCAAACACAAACAAACTTGTTGCCAAGAAAATTTTGTTCCAAACACACAGCTCAGATTACACTGAAGGTTCTATCTAGGCCGAATTGGATACACACATTGTATATTATGCCACAAAAGGACTGAATTTACCGTAAAATGGGCTTTTGTCTGACACATTTGATCTAAATGAAAATATAATAGTGCAAAACTAAGTTTCAAGTTATGAGCACTGGAAAAGTTTAATATTTTTTCATTCTGTAGTTTCTGAGAGTATTGATAGTGTTCGCCAAATTTGGCCTAAGCTCCATTATTAGTAAGATACGCTGAAAAACGAGATATTTTTAAAACAATGATATGAATTAATTAAATGAGACAAACTTTAAAATTATGACAAACAAATGCAAACCACTGTTTGCTCTTATTCTAGTTTGTCAGAGCCCCCCCCCCCTTAGCGCTCCCCAGAGCAGTTGAGTTTGGCAACCATGATCTAGAAAATGGCGGCTTGTTCCGGCGGTAATTTTTTCCCGCCGTTATCTCCCCTGTCCAGGGTCCATGGACCATGAGCAAGTGTCACTTTACGACTGTCTCCACAGTTTTTGCTGTTTTTTTTCTTCTTATTTTGTTTTTCACCCTGGTGTGGATAACGACCTCGTACTTACAAAAAATTGCTCTACTTTTACCGATTGTCTCTAGGGATGTGTTACTCACTGTTTTGTTTGCGCGCGTGTGTGTGGGTCTATTTTTTAAAGCAGTTATTGTCATGTGGGGCAAATAGGCTCAATGTAAGGGTTGTGACTTCGAGCACAATTTGTTGTTTTCCATCTTTGCACTGCTCAGACGCTGTGTCCTCACAGTTTGGCATGATGCTGCTATCTGGCAAAATGTTACGAAAGACATAATTAACACATGTATCGCAAACAATGGGCGCAGTGTGATAATCTGTCTGTCAGCCTTGAGAAAAAACATGTGGGTTTGATTTCCTCTAGATGCGAGGTATTCACTTACAGAGACTGCAGCTCTCGTCTGGGATATGTATCACCACAGGATGCTCGTTGGGTCAGACAAATAAGGCAGAAAAGGATCACCACAGGCTGCAACTATTAGATCTACAATTGAATCAATTTAGTGGGCATTGAAAACGTGTTGAAATAGATTCGCCCCACCTTTTACCCCAAAAAAAGCAACAACGAAACAAAACTAAACAAAATAGAACAGAACAAAACAAAACAAGAAAAGCAAAAAAAAAACAAAACAAAAAACCAAAACAGAACCCCAAAAAGTCAAATGCCTGAAATCGTCTGATGAGAGAAAATGGTATGTCCAAAGTAAATAAATGTCCAAGCTTTCAAGGAATGTATCTAGCAAACAGCAACATTCCATGTAATAATATGGGGCACCAAGGCCTTCTAAGTAAGATATAGAATTGTGTAACTTTTCTGAAAATGGCGCTTAGATCTAGATCTATATCTTTGCAGATTTACACTTGAAAAAACCCCCACCAACAATAAAACAACCCCGCACAAATAAAATAAAGGTATATTATTTCTTTGAGAGATTATGACGAATGAAACGAAAAAGCTAAACCTCTGACCCCGGTACTCGACCAGCAAACGGAACACCCCCACTGGAATATGTGAGTCGTACCAAACTGTTCTTCTGATCTCTCCACGACTTATTTCCTTCTAAGTTGGACGACCGGGGGTGGGGGAGGGGGGGCAAGGGAAAGACGCCTGGTAGGATTTTTTACTTTTGACAAAATGTATAACAAAACAGCGACCAAAAGAAAAACAAAAACAAAAAATGTTTTTTAAAGGAAGTGAAAGTATGTCAGCCAACATGATATTTATTTTTACTTTGACAAAATGTACAACGAAACAGCGACCAAAGGAAAAAACACAACATTTAAAAAAACGATGTGAAAGTATGTCAGCCGACATGAGAAAGCACCAAAAAAACCCCGTAATTGGAGATGTTTATACGCCAGCATTGACCCAGCTTAGGAAATGGAGGAGGCGGGCTGTCCTGGCCTTGTCTGACAGGGCCACCAACCCAGGCTGAGACGGAGACAGCGTCTGAGTAAACACAGACAGACAGACAGACAGACAGACAGAAAAACATGCAGACAAACAGACAGACAGACGGACAGACAGACAGACAGACAGACAGACGGACAAAAGGAGGACATACAGATAGACACACAGACAGACAGACAGACGGACAGACAGACGGAAACAGATGCTAGACACACGGGAAAAGAACTCATGTTGCTGGCATGACGCTGAAAAACGCCAAACCGTTAAACGTTCTAAGGGGTGCCCACTACGGCTGGATCGGGCCGATCGCCGGACTCGGTTGTGTGGAACTGAAAACAAACACGTCTGTTTTTGAGGTGACCGAGTTTGGCGATCGGCCCGATCCGCAGATCCCATCCGTAGTGGGCACCTTGTATTACACCACACATTTGGGAGGAGCAAGGACACAGTGGGCCAGCCATAGGACCAGAGCCTCACGTGGACATCTACTG